GTTTTTAAAGTATATTTGAATATATCTGCAACGTTTTAGAAATTTGAAATCAGTTAAATTTATAAGTTAAATGAAATATTTCAATATGGGTGTCTTTCTAAAATATATTTGAAGATAGAGCTTTATTGAAAAATGAAACATTTTCGCAGTGAACTGCGGTTTAAAAGTTCCAGTTCAATTAAACGAGAGATTAAATGTAACATGCGACAGTCAAATGAAAAAAGTTAAAGACATTTTTTTCTCCAAAATATTTTCGAAGAAGATTGCTTGCCGCCTCATTTAAAATCAAATTTAACTTAGTTAATTGATTTGGTCGAGGAATCCTACATATTTACAAAAAATTTTTTCGAATGCATTTTATAAGAGAGGAAAGGCAAATATTGACACTGGCTTGAATAAGATAGCAGCATCAAAATGATCAGCAACGTTTGATGGCATAACGATAACCGTATATCACGAGGGCAGGGCCGCGGGCAAATGCTCGTAGTTCACATATTTCCGGCAGGGTTGCACCGCCGCATAGCTCATCGTATCTGCAACTATTGTATGTACATATATACATATGTAGCAGGGATGTTGCGAATATTTGCATTCGTTATGCGAATGATTCGCATCATTTTACACATTCGCATTCGACATTCGCATTCGAATCAAATGATACGAATGTGCCGCGAATGTGTACATGGGCAGAGAGTCCACTCTACTGTTGTTGAAATGGCTCTAAGTCTGCCTAACCAGGGTGCGGACAATAACCGGATTTTAGCTCCAGGCGCTAAACGGTTAAGTAGTATATCAAGCAACATTGATGGGCCTTCAACAAGTACTGCTAAAAGTCTTATAAGCAACCTAGAAATAATTTTAGATTTCTACAGCGAAAGTGAAGGCTCGGATGTAGAATCTGGAGACATTAAAAATTTGAAATTAAAGCTCAATTGAAGGCCTATCTTAACGAAAGAACGAGCTCATCTCGGTGAAAGTCTTCTCGATTGGTGGAGAACTAAACTAAAATACGACAAATTGACAGATCTGGCCCTCAAATATTTGAGTGAGCAATTGCTCATTGCTGATTATAAATTTTTTAATGTTATTCCTAAAAATTTTATTTTTTATGTTATTCGAAACATCCCTAATATGTAGGTAGTGTAGTCATTGAGCGCCATCACCTGCTCAAGTGGCGCGCAGATCGAGACATTCACAAGTGTGTCTACTCATCGTTGATGCGTTCGTTTGTTCGGGCCTTTTGACTGCTTGGCAATTGCCCCTATTCTTTTGAATTACTCTTTCTATGGCTTCGCCTTTAAGCTTGCTTTGTTGTTCTTATTGTTTATATTTTTTTGTTGATTTTTTATTATTGTTGTTGGCATATTAAGTATTTTTATCCTATTTTTCATGGCTCACCTCACATTCCAGCTTTGTTTGTGCGCAAGTTCTAGACCAACATACATATGTAGATACGATTATACATACATACATACATACATACCTTCAAATCTGTTGCATTATTCTTTGACTTTGGCTTCAGGTTGCACTGTGGTTGGGGTATTTGTGGTTTCACTTCAGCTTCTTCGCACTCTTTCCGTTCTTCAAGATTGTTATCATTATTATGCTTGTTTCATAATTATTAGCGTGTCTGCTTTTTAGGAGCTTAGTTGAAGTATCTACAATATTTTTCTTTTGCTTTAATTTCTTTTGTTCTTTTATTTTTTATTGCACTTTGTTTACCTTTTTTCATAACTTTTATATTTGTTTTACACTAATTTCTTCCCTGCAAACCAAAGTTCCCGAAATCTTAAGGAAATCGTTAGGAGTATCTCATTTCTGTAACGATTTTTTACGAATTTTCAAAGAAAATTATATGAAGTGGTTGACACGAACTCGTAAAGAAATTTCTGTACGAAAAATAAAGAAAATTCTGTAAAAATTCTGAAAGATATTCTTCACATAGCACCATTATTTTCATTGCTTCACAGATTTTCTTCCGAAATTTCGTAAAAGAATGGAAGTGTGCGTAATTTATTTCATTTTAGAAAATTCGGCAAAAAATCGAATTAAATCTTAACGAATTCTTTAAAATTTCTTGACAATGCAGAATACTCTGAAAAAATGGTTTGCAGGGTTATTTGATCTATAAAAAAAAGCTAAATGTATGTATAATCTCCAAACTTTTCACTTACGTATGTGCTTCTCTAAAAGACTTTCTCACGCATTACTGTTACTGTTTACTTACATACAAAAAAGTTCACCCGGTTTTGGAGCTACTACTCATTAACTTGTTTGCTCTTCTGCTAAAGCTTTGAACTTAATTCTCCTTTGCTGCACAACGGCTTACATTACATATCTTGTTTTTTCTTTATATTTTTTCACTTTGACGCGCACCGTTTTTGTTTGTATTTTGTTTCTTAAAGTTAACTGCAAAGTAAGAAATAGAAATTAATTTTGTTTTCATTTTTCAGCTTAAATAAATACTTAGCCACTGACAATGCGCTCGTTTGTTGATCTGTTGACACAGCAAGTCTTATGAGTTCATTTCTAAATAAATTCTACAGCAACTATTGGCGTTTTCTTTTCTACCGAAAAAAAATAATTGCATTTTCCATTCCCTCAAACGCACAAATACTAAGGAGAGAGCAATGAAAAGGCCACATTTTTTGTAGAAAAGAAAACGCCGTATGTCTTTTACCGCCTTGGCTTGCGTCTTGTTTTTTTTGATTGCTATCAGTCAAGTCTCATAGATATCCAGCAATTAGTTTTCACTATTATTATTTTTGTTGCAACCGCTGAAAGTGAAAGACTCTCACTTTGACTCGAGAAATTTCGTTACTTCTATGTAAGTTTAAACTTTTTTTTTTGCGTGATTAATTTATTGTTGCTGGTAATCAGCGATAAATTCCTAAATTCAACTAGTGTGCGTATTACCTTCCTGAGATCGGCATCGACATGATTACACTAAAGGAAAATCGACGGAGTCAGCTTTGCATGACGTTGGTGTGGGCGGCGGTGTAGTAGTAGTTGGATAAGCTAGTAACCAGATATGTGAGCAGATGTACGTGGTGTACTCTCCCTTTTCTTTCTACTGTAAATGAAATCCTAGAGAAGGAACTGGGTAAACCACACACGTGGACTAAATATAGTGGCCTTAACGTTAACTCATGTAAAACCGAGCTATTACTGTTTTCAAATAGAAATAAGGTACCCAAATTTAGACCATCCATAGGCGGAAAGACCATGTCCTATTATCCAATGTAAAATAACTGAGGATCATCCTAGAGACTAAATGGTACTGGAAACTTAACGTTGAAAAATGTTAAGAGAGGGCTTACAAGCATCACTTACTTCATTTGTTAAAGGATATTCAGTAGAAACTGGAATTTTAAAACCGAGACTTGTGATGTGGATGTACACCGCTATCATAAGACCGATCCTTACCTACGGCGTCCAAGTACTGTGACCAGCTTTAAGTACATAGACCGTATAATACAAAGATCGACATGTTCGGGAGTTACTGAATCATTGGGATCCTGCCCCTCAGAAGCACTGAATGTCGTCATCAATATGATTCCGTTTGATCTTAACCTAAACGAAATCGCGATATACTCAGCATTAAGTCTCTGGGAGTCGGGGCTGTGGAAAATGGAGACCTTTAGCCAAAGCTCAATCTTAAGTCTTGGTCTGATAGAAAATAAAACCACGCACTACATCGCATCAATCCAGGGTTTTGGCTTGAATGTACTTGTGCGGTTTCCATTCAGAAGGGAATAGAGATGGGGCCGAGCTGATGATAAGGAAGTCATATGTAGCTACACTGACTGGGATACCCCTCAGACAAATACACAGTGAAACTAGCAAGGAGAAGGTGTTTACAGATCCAAACTTGAAATAAAGCACATGAGCTTTGGCCTGACTATAATAGAAAAAGAATAGCAGATCTGCTGTGTATGTAGGTCAATGCTAGATGTACTTAGGATTGTAGGGACTATCAACTGTCGCTGGCAGCTAGAAAAACATGCTTATAGAATAGGGCCTCCTGGGAAAATTCACAACCAAAACACCGGAAATATAGCCACATCTGACTACTCGACCGATAATGGTGTCGGAGTAGAGGTATGTAACCCGTAAAGTTCCATTTCGATGGCATGGGGCGGGTAAACTCTGCGCTTTAAATCGAGCTGCATGCCATTACACTATTTCCGAGACCTCTAAATACACTCGGAGAATTCTTTGGTATAAATATTTCCTTTGTTCGTTTACACCTGCTCCGTGCCATTCTTGTGAGCTTTTTGCGCCGTAAGAGTTCTCGACATTGACGTAGCTCTTGTTGTGACGGTAGTTGTAACTCTTGTGGATTTTTTTGAGGATAGCAAATTTTAGAGTTGATGAGGTTGAAGTTTTTCTCTTTTTCCCACTACTGGCCGTCTGGCAAGAGATACGAATAAGGTTTAGTAGCTCTAGAAGCTACTCGATATCCGAAAATGCCTTCAGGAGTCACTACCAGTAGGCACTAGACGCAGACGGGCATACGTATAAATACTAAACAAACCAAAGGGGAAAAATATCCTCTCTGTATTAGGGTGGTCCTTAAAATATCAATATCATGGACACCCCTTTGTTGTTCTATGTATAAGAAAAAGACATCCATGAAGATTAAAAAAAAAAAATATTTTTTAAATGACAAAATCTCGGCAAAATTTTTACTTTGAGCAGCTATAAGCGAGTTTATGAATTCATATGAATAACTGCAAAAAATGTGTTGTAAAATTTATCAGATTTTGTGTCACATTTTGTTGAATTTTTGCAATTTTTTAAAAAATTAAAATTTTCATATATAGAAAAATACAAAATTTAGATGTTAATATTATGAGGACTACGTTACTCTGTGCGCAATTGCATTTTCGCAAAAAAAAACTGGAAAACACCACCAACACCAACTTCTAATTATCCGAGTCGAGTCTATTACTTCTACTTACTTACATATCTTTTACTACCACAATTAATTTTATAGTTGATAACAAATAATTTCTTCTTTTATCTCTTTATAGGTCAGCTCTTGATGTATTTATTTCTAAATAATGAGTAAGTTAAATCATAAAACACTTTATGCAATATGTAGTACTTAAATACAATTACTAGTTTACATTATTCGTTTTTATTAGCTGCTAACTCTAACATTTTTATGTTTATAAGGCAGATTCGGTTAAGGAGGCCCTAAACGGTCAATTATTTGATAAAGCATGATTGGTTGTCTAGGAACCTCATTTAGGCTAGACCCAATCAATCAATCAGTGGGCTAGTGTCCTGGATCATCTTGGCCAATTTTGATTAAGCATTGCGTCAGTCATGTCATTGACATAGAGGACACATCATCGCTCCTTCAAATTCATGAATTTTAGGTCGTTCAAATCTATGCCAAAGAAGCCAGGTACCTCAATGCTATGAATAGTCTTTGAGTTGACAGCTCGCTTCACGTTTGTTTGTAACGTCCTTCTCTATATATTTTGCGCCGTACTACTTAAGACCAATAAAAAATGAAAACTCACTTGGTCCATTCCATGGACTTAGTCTTCTTGCCTTCTATCGCACAGAACGTTAACTAAATGCTCATAGGTGATATGATTTCTCACTTGATCCCAGTGATTGGACTACCGTCTTTAACTATTAGCTTGGTTTTTACGTTTGTGGGTTTTTCCGTTTGTTAAGGAAAGAAAGGCCTTACGTGTATTTCCAACCATTTTTTTAACACTAGAGACGATTCACGATAGACCTTTCGAGTCGTAAGCTAAGCTCAGATTTGGATTTCACTAAAAAAAAAGTGATTGGGTCGATTGAAACCAGCGTCAATTGAATGACTTCACAGTTGGATCAAGTAGTTTGCCCGTCTAGGCTCAGATTTAGGATTACATCAAGCAAAAAGTGACCCTCAATAGTCACGTAAAATTTATCAGCAATTACGTACCTGCTCAATAACAATTTTTTTCGCATTCGTACTTAATTTCCGGCGAGTTTGTAGGCTTACCAAACAAACAAAGAAAAAGCGAAACAAAAACCAAACAAAAATTATGATTACCATAAATCTATAGAAATTTAAATTTACATGCATAATTAATGTTGTTTGTTGATAGAGCAAATCTGTGGAAATTTCCGTGGAGTGTGCGGTGGAGCCGAGTGCGCTTGAATCGAAAATAGAACATACGAATATATCTACAGGGTGATTTAATAAGAACGCAGCTGTTCTGATATAAATAAAACCCAAAAAAAAAAATTTGTCAAAATAGCATTTTGTATGTATGAAATACAATATCCGTTAAATACACACCACGACTACTCCTCTGGCAACACAGGATGCGCATTTTCAAAATTTCCATGACTTTTTGGCATATTTCGGGCAGCATATGATTTCATTCTTCCGCTCAGTAATCGCCTTGGGCTTATTAGCAAAGACCATGTTTTTTCACGTAGCCCCGTGAGAGAAGTCCAATGGTGTCGAATTGCAAGATTTCGGCGGCCATTTGACTCCGTTGTTTCGTGAAATAAGTAATGCGTCATGGGAACTGTGTTCGCAATAGAGCCTTTGTCAAGTGGAATATATTGTCCAAGTCGAGGATGCAATTGTTAAATATACGGCGCCAAAATAGCAATAAGGACCTGTACGAAGACACGTGGGTCTTGTCACGTTTTGTACCGATACAGTTTCTTCGAATTTATGCACCAAGCGGCTGGTTGTTGCCTCAGATGGCCGATTATGTGGACCGAAAAATCACGCAATGCGCGGAATGTACTTCTTCCAGAATGATAATTTTTTCATAAAACATTTGGATCACTTTTACACGTTTTTCAATTGAGCTGCATGCCTAAGCTTGGCAAAGCCTGGAGTACCAATTATCTGAAAAAAATAAAATAAAATAAAAACTTATATTAACATATCACAAAAAATTACTGTCAAAGATCTGCATCACCCTTCAATCACCCTATATATGTATATGTAGGTACGTATTTTCAAGTCATTACCCTTTTACACGCCGAGCACTTTAAAATTCACTTCTTCACTTAGAACCCAACACTCACAAATTTATTCTAAGAAGTTTGACCCACCCACTTTAATGCAAAAAAACAAACTGTGTACATTTTTTTTTGGCGATTAAAAGAAAGAAAGGCGGAAACAGACCACACAAGTGGCCAGATTATTTACTTTCACTGCCGCTTTTATTTAGGCAAAAACAATTTGACACTTTCATTAAACAAGTTTCATAACCAAATCACAAAATATTAAACCATAATGGCGCAAAAAAAAGTTTACGTCGCAAATTGAGGAAATGCTCGGAAACACTTGTAGAGCCACAAATTGTCGACAAAATGCAACGCCCCTCTTGAGTTGCATTAAATTTTTATGTAGATAATAATTTGCGCCTCTCGAGTTAATCGAAAAGCGAAAATGCATGTGCCGTTCGGTGTTAGAAAAAAAAAATTTAATTGCGGAAAAGTGCAGTGACTGTAGGCTAGCCAAGCATAAAAGCTTATGCAACAAAGATAGTGCGGCATTTGATACAGTTAAAATTACTTTAATTTTTGATGTTCCAAAGTGTCATTATTAGTGTGTAATTTTTTTTTTGAATCGTGAATTCATTTGCGCAATTGTTGTCTGACAAAATTTTCATTTTGATTTCCTGCTTACAGTCATGCTTGAATCTTTTGTTATGAGTAGCGGGTCTGATGTATGTACATATGACGACTCTTACAATACATATACAATCCTTATCTACTCAATCGACTTTGTTAAATTTTCTTTTATGTACTACATATATATTTCCTTCGGTCATCTGGATATAAGCTACAGTTTTTTGTACGCGATTGCTGGTGCCGGAAACCAGATATTTGAAAAAACTAGTATTTATGGTCCGATTTGGCTCATCTTCTTCTTATTTCGTCTTATAACCGTCTGTCGTTTTAAGCCGAGAGCAACTTTGCCAATTGTCTCTTGCAGACAGGTCTTCCAATGTCCTTACGGGCGCCCTATTACGCTTTCAAACATCAGATGGAAAACGTCGCACGAAAGTGAATCGCCATGTCTAAAGCTTAGGTTTCTCTCCAGGTATTCGGAGCGGTCCTTCCCAATTTGGACGGAGCCAAAGGTCTAAGTAGCACTGTATCGGTTTGCCCGGATCGGTGGAAAAACTTTACCGATTTTTTTTTTTAATGGAAAATGATGCACCCTAATGTACACATGTATATATCTGTGCTTATTTGGTATAAATTTGTCATTTTCAATGAGGCTTCGGAAGATTCAATGATGGGTCACCACCATTATTTTAAACGTGGCGTTATTTATTTAATTCCCAATATCTACTCAAATGCCTTGCCTTTGTTCCTTTAGTTCCATGCACATTCCACAACAATCAACACCAAATCGATTCAATTTATGCTAATCACGTAGCTTTTAAAACTCATCGTCGCGCCTGCAACTCATTGATCTTCCCACTTTTTGCTTTCTTAAACACATGACTTTTGTCTTTCACTACTACAAGTTAGAATGCTGCACACCTATAAACATACAGACATACACTATTACATAATGACTTGATACGTGAATCTGATAAATTTGCCTATAGCATCATAGAATATTTAAATATGTTTGTATTTAAAAATTTACATAAAATAAAATCATTCCAAGAGTGCATGCGAACCTTACAATTGATGCCACCAACAACTTTGTAATAAATATCGGCCGAAAAAAAGTAATGAATATGAATATGTATTTTTCTTTCACAAATAGCATACAACGTTACTTGATTTTTTTTTATACCCTTTAGTGGTCACTATATACAGTGGCGGATTTGAATATTTGTCACCCCTAGGCAATACAGAATTTGCCGCCCTTTTTCCGATAATAAAAATATTTTGAGGTAAAAGTACCAGTTTTGGAACAATTAGCAGTAAATAGTATGATTAAAATTTATATTATTTACTATACTTTTATTACAATTTAAGATGAAAAAGTGGTATTTGCCTTAAGTAAAGTTTTTTAAACTTTTAAAGAAAGCCATCATCAACAAACTTTTTTCACTTGATAAGTTATAATCTTAAAAATACTAAATTAGTTAACTTGAAAAAAAAAGTTGCAACTCAAATTTCGACGCCCTAGGCACCTGCCTATGTTGCCTTTACGGTAAATCCGCCACTGACTATATACATACATACATATGTATGTACTATATTGAATTGCTATTCCTTTTCCCTGATTGTCACAGCTCATCGGCGCTGCGCATTAGCAGTCAAACTTAATCTGATATGCCGGCGACTATTGGTCAGGTTATAGTGATTGTTATTGTCGTTGTTGTCGTTGTTGTTGTTGCCGCTGAATGTCGCCTTTGGTAATGCTTGACTGGTATTCGTTGGGCTCCAATGAGTCCACGCTTGCTGGCGATGTCGACATTTTTTCTTCTAAATGCAAATAAAGATTCATAAATCTATAGTACAGACTACGTATATATATATATGTACATTAGGGTGGTATAAAAAAAAGTTTCAGGATTTTTCTAAATGTAATAAAAAAATACCCGTATTTTTTGCTTTTAAAAAACATGATATTTAGAACTCCTTCAAAGCCCATGGAGTTTTCCAAAAAAAATCGTCAGTATTAAAAAATGTTACAATAAGCTATTGAGTATTATTATTGGAAGTCTCCCGAAAAATATTGATTTTCAAGAATTCTATACCATTTCCACGAAAAAGTGTGTTTTGCTTATATAAAATAAATAGAAATTTTAATGGGATTTGCGGTAAAACTACAAAAAAATGCTGGTATTTTTTCCATTTAGAAAAATCCTAGATAATGAGAGCTTAAAATTTTAAGCTTTTCCCCCCGCATGTATTTTTGGACCATCCTAATGTACATATGTACGTATACATACTCGTATAATAGCCTAAAAATGGGCTTCGTTGTGACAAAGCCAATCTAAATGCCAATAATTGTTTGCTTTTTTACAAACTCTTATTTCTATTTCTATTTATTTATTACGACTTTTTTTTTTAGTTTTTTTTTTTCTGCGCATTGCTAATAGTCACACTTTTTATTGGAC